AAGAAAAAGGCAGTGCAAGCTCTGTAGTGGACATTTGTTGTTTCTGCCTGTCTAACATTCACTCCTCCTCCTTCTGGTAACAATGCCCTGATTTTGCTTTGGAAGCCACCTCTCTCCTCCCCAAGCACATAGGGGTTTCCAAAACACTAGTAATATTCTAGATCCTAATCTGGGGAGGTAGGAACATCAGTGTTCATTTACTGTTTGTTAAACTGTAGAGATATATTTTATTCTTTAAGGTCTACAGATACATTTCACAATTAAAACTTTGTATGTATATTTGTATGCATATTTCACAATTAAAACCAATAAAAAATTCCCTTTTCCTGGCTCAAAGGTGAACATCTGATCCCGGTCTGGGCAATCAGTCACAAGGATTGGTTTAGGAGCCTGACCCGATTTACACCAATGAGACACCACCCCAGGGCTTTTGCCGGAATGCTCAGGAATGAAGTGCTCTCATTCTGAAGTTGTGAAGCTTGTTTGTAGAACATATCTTTTCCCTAGCTTGAGAATGAAGCCAACAAGAAGTAAAGCAAAGCCAAGAGATGGAAAGGGACAGGTTCCCAACATCATTTGAATACCTAGTTCCAGCCATTCTTGAAGCCAAAATAACTGAGACTTTTCAATAATGTGAGCTGGTAGATTTTTTTTGACAGGATCAAGTGCTGCCTACCAGCACTTGAGTCAATTTGAGTTCAGTTTTTTGACTCATAACTAAAAAGAATTTTGGCTAAATTCTGGCTAATTCAAAGTAATTCTCAATTCAATAGCCTTTTCAACACATAAGTCAAATCATGCCCTCAAGACCCCGAAATGACTCCCTTATGTTACTCAAAGTAAAGGCCAAAGTCCTCAGGATGGCCTACCAGGCCCTACCTGATCTGGTCACTTCCCCTCTCTGCTGTCAGCCCCACAACTCTCCATTATTCTCTCTGCCATGTCATACTGGCCTGGAACACTCTTCTCCAGACATCTGCCTGCTATATCCCCAGCTTCCTTCAAGTCTCTGCTCAAATCTCAACCTCTCAGCGAGGCCTACCCACACCCCCTCCTCCCAGCCAGTGATCCTGAACCCCCTTCCTCTGTTCTATTTCTTCTTTCTTCCACAGCATGTTACCTAACACAGTACACACTCACTAAAATGTACTCAAGGAGGGCGGGAGTCTTTGACCAGTTTATTCACTTGATCAATCCCTAGTTCCTAGAACAGTGCCTGGCTCAGAGCAGGCACTCAAATATTTGCTGAATGAATAAACTGGCATGAGCCTCAAAGGAGCAGAGGTTGGTTTGTAAAGATGAAGAAAGAGAATAACGCTAACCCGCCATCTCCTGACCCTGATATAAGTGGAGTACAGAAGGAAGAGACACCTCCATTGTGAAGACTTCAGGGGAAGCGGTGTCCTATTGGTCAGGAAGTAGAGGCAAGAGTTCAGTGAAGAAGTTGAGGATGTGGGGAAGTGTGTTAACCATGGAATGAGGCTTGAGGGGGCTTGAAGTTAAGCTTTGGGAGGTCTGCAGAAGCTAGAGGCTGAGTCAGGGAAGAAGCAGCCCAGAGCAATCTACAGATGAAAGTAAAAAAGGAGATGGGCCAAGTGATTTATTTACATTTTAGGTGGAGAGGCAGGATATAATGATGAGTCCTGATGAATTTAGCTGACAGGAAAAGAATTAACCCCAGCAACCTCTGGTAGATAGAAAAGATTCATCCCATCACACCATGATTTGAATGATTTGAAAAACTGACGGACAGAGAGTCCATCACATTTGTTCTCCTCTCCCACCCAAGCACCCAGGGGCCATTCAGAAGCATCAGCTGGATCAAGACACAAAGCTTCCCTGTTTATGGCACCATCCTGGGCCTGGAGAAAGCAATTCCCTTCTGCATAATAACTCTGCACTATGAGGGACCTGCCAAACCTCATTCTCTTGACTCTGAATCCCTCTCATGCACGATCACAACCCCAGTTTCCAAAAAGGCAAGAAAACAGGCTTTTTTTCAAAGACAGCCCGTGGCACTCAACTTTCCTACCTGCCCTCTAACAACAATCTTCCCAGCCTGAGCAAGAGAATACTGGGCAAAGGGAAGGACTCCACTGGTCCTAACTCACCTCTGTTTCTTGCTGGCTTCTGACATGTTCCTTGTACAGAAATTTCTCCAGAGCTATGAGAACTTACGTGTATGCCAAGGCTCGAGGAAAATGTTACTCCCAGCCAGAGAAAGAAATTACATTGTGTAGCCTCTAAGGAAAAATGGCTTACTATAAATCAGACCCTTGGGAATGGTGTCATTTAGATGCTCTCCAAAGCTGTTAGGAGACTTATTAAATATTCAATAATTAATAATAATGCCCCCAAGACTGTCTCACTCACAGAACTGACCCTGTAAAGGAAGCTAGCAGTAATCAGACTTGGGCCTGACTTCCTGCCCCGGCAATATCTTGGTGGTGAAGGGCATGTATCTTCCCTGTACTTCTGCGTAAAATGCCCACACTTCTGAGTCAGGTATCCTTCAAGAGCAGACTTTACAAAAATATTTAAAATAGCTATTGAGGTGGCCAGCCTCCAAGATGGCTCCAATGACCCCTGCCTCCTGGTAGTCACACCCTCTTCCCACATTGTACCAGAGTTGGTTGGTGATCAACAGAATATGGCAAAGACTTGTCACTTCCAAGATTAGGTTATAAAAGCGGCAGCTTCAGTGTCAGACACTTGCTCTCTTGATCACTTGCTCTGTGGGAAACCAGCTGCCATGTCAAGCATAGGTCAGCAAGAAACTGAGGTCTGACAATAGCTTAAAAGGGGATCTTCCCCCAATCCAGCCTTCAGAATACTGCAGCCCTAGCCAACAGCAGAGTTCCTGGGTGGTGCAAATGATTAACACGCTTGCTTGCTGCTAACTGAAAGGTTGGAGTCCACCCAGACGCACCTCAGAAGAAAGGCCTGGTGATACACTTCTGTAAAATCAGACACTGAAAACCCCATGGAGCACAGTTCTACTCTGACACACATGGGGTCACCTTGAATCAGAGTCAACTCAGAGGTGCCTCAAAAGAAAGGCCTGGCTCTCTACTTCTGAAAAATCAGCCACTGAAAACCTTATGCAGCACAGTTCTACTCTGACACACATGGAGTTACCATGAGTCAGAATCAACTGGACTGGAACTGGAAGCCAACAGCTTGACTGCAACTTCTGGAAAGACCCTGAGTTAGAACTCTGAACACCCTGATTTCTGACCCACAGAAACTATTTTCAGGTGCTAAATTTTGGGGTAATTTGTTACACAGCAATAGATAATTAATTCACTATCCTACCCAGAACCAAGAAATTGGAAGGTTTAACCTATTCTATTCTACAGTCTACATTCATTTAGAACCAATTTTTCTGTCCATAAGAAAGCAACAAATTATTCATTCACGCATTCAACAATTACTTATTGGATGTCAAATACGGGCAAAGTATTTCCAAATGACATAAGCCTTCACATAGTTTATAATCTATAAAATAAACAGAAATAATCACAAAGAGGCCCATTACACACATGGGGCTGCTCAATTCATTGACTTCATTAGCTTTTCAAGTTTCCTCGCTCCTAATGGTTTACTCCCACTCTTTGCTTCCACGACCCCTCTCAAGAAGCCCCCTTCCCTAGCTATTCTGAGTGTTCAGTGCAGGGCTTCCAACTGGTTCATTCTGGTTCCAACCCAGATATACTGAATCAGAATCTACAGTTTAACAAGATCCCCAGGTGATTCTTATGTATAATAAATTTTGAGACCCACTGCTTTACTAGTAGTAGAGCAGTGGTTCTCAAAATTGGTCCTTAACCAGCAGCATTAGCATGCCTGGGAACTTGTTAGAAATGCAAATTCTCAGCAGGGGTTCGAACCAGAACCAACCGGTTCAAGAAGCCCTGGTTCATGCAAGGCCAGCAAGTCATATTATCTCATACTCATTTTTACTGTACTGCATGCTCTTCTGTCTAAGGGGCGGGAAGAAAGTTGGGCCTCCTGAGTCCATTTGGTACTGGGACAAGGACGACTTCATTGAGTATTTTACTAGGAGGAGGAGGAAATCGTGATCACAAGCGCTGAGCACTCTAATTTCTGCAATTAGTGACTAAGTGGCAAGAGCAGCGATGATACAATCACCGCTCAAGCCCCCATCACACCCGCGCTCCAGTTGAAACGGCCAAGGGGGAAGGGCATGCAACCCCTAGCTCCTCTTTAGGCTCTGCTGTCTCTCAAAGCAGCAGGAGGGTTGTGCTGCTCTAAGAAAAGCCGGAGCCTCCTTCTTCACAAAGAAGGCCAAAGGGCGAGCTTTCTTTACATCAACCACAAAACCAGCCTCTGCCAAACCCTAACAGTGTGGGAGGCCGTTGGTGGTGAAACAAGCCCCAGACAGAAAACCACAACGAGACTCTCCCCCCGCCACCGGCTGGGGTCTAAGTCAGGTGACTCCTCTGGACACAGCAAACCCAAACAAAGATCACTCCCCCCATGACTGATGGGGGAGAAAGACGACTCTCATAGTAAAATCAGGGCTGCCCTACCCTACCATGGAAAACCATTAACTCTTGCTTCTTTGCAGTCCCAGGAAACTGGAAGAGCTACAAGTTATTCGGCAGCACAGCCTTCAGGGATGCACCTGGAGGAACTTGGGACCCTATCCCAGGACACAGGCGCCGAGCTCTGCACACACACGCCCCCCTCCCCCGGCCACAAGCACGCAAGCGGGACCCGTCCCCACCAGCTGTCACCGGCGCTCGAGGTCAGACACAGCCAGGGAAGACCGTCCCCTCTGGCCGCTCCCCTAGCAGCTGCGACCCCGCAGGGGAGACGCCTTTTCCGAAGGTTCTAGGAGAGATGGTACACCCGCCCCCGGGAAGGGGCGCCAGGATAGGCGCGGCCCCGTGCCTAGGCTGGCTTCGGATCCATCATCCCTCCCTCCCCCCCGGGAATGGAATGAGCCTCCTGGTCCCCAGCCTCGCGCGCCCCACCTTGTCGCCGAAGCTGCGAGTCATCAGCAGGTCCGGGCTGGGCGTGCTGTCGCCGCCCACGGCCTCCTCGCTGCTGGAGCCGGCCAGCGGGTGCGGCATGTCGCGCAGGGAGTGGGGCCCCGTGGACGGCAGGGCCTTGGGGGGCCCGCCCGACATGGCGCGCACCGCTCGGGACGCGCGGCCGCCGCTTCCTCCTGCTGTCCGCCGCGGCGGGCTACCCCAGCGCCCCGGACCGAGGCCCCGCTCGGCCGCGGCTAGGTCGGAGGCCCTGCACCGGCCCGGGTAAGAGCAGCCACCGCCTCCCGCCGGCTGGTCTCCGCCGCCAGGGCTGGGCTGGGCTGGGCTGCTCTGCGCCGCGCGTCCCAGTTCCACGCCCGAGCCAGCCGCGGGTCCGCTCGCACCTCCGCCCCAGGCGCCCAGCCCTCTCCGCCACACCACCCACCCACCCCGCTCGCGGCCCCGCCCCCGCGGCGCCTCAGTCGCCCCGGGAGGGGGCGGGAAAAACGAATGCGGAGGGTTTGGGGGAGGGGACGAGGGCAGCTCCGCCCCCGCCCGCCGCCCGCCGCCCGCCGCCCAGCAGGAAGTGCGCCCTGAGCCGACGGCCGCCGTCCTCCGAGAGTCCAACCTCGCCTGGCAAAAGCCAGCTCTGTGGAGGTTGCGCGGAGACCTCAGAGCAAATGTTTAACGGAAATCAGAGGTGGAAAAAGACGTTGGAGAATCCAGTTTCATTTCAGCCTCATTGACTGATGCGTCCACGGGTAGCCACGCTTGGGGCTGGGGGCTTTGGGGCATACACACGAGGCAGGATCTTCTGGCCCCTGAGACTCGCGCAGGAATAACCCAAAATAGAAGGAATTACGACGCATATCATAATGGCATAAAGGGCTATGAGGCTCAAAAGAGACAGAACATCAGGTGGAGAACCTGGAGAGGAATTCGAGGAGGCAGTGTAGGGTTTCTTCAAATTTCATGCTGATATCCTGATGCCACCCTGCCTCTACAGTTCAACTGGGCTTATGTAAAGTTAAACCTCAGAAGGCCAAGCATCAGTAAATGAGAGAGAGTGGGAGTGCTACAAATGATACGTGCCTGTTAAATGTGCATCTTGATTAAGCAGCCTTTTGAAAGAACTGTGAAGTTCATGTTATTTTTCATGTATTTGTGCTTCCTTTCCAGCCCTTTGGCAGAGTTGGATTCTCAGCTTTATTTGCTAGCAGAGTAGAGGTAGTCCAGTCATTAATTTGCACTTTAGGGTGTAAATTCACCTCCTTTTCCCACCTTACCTGTGTCTGCAGCTTCTGTTTCTAGGGTCAGATCATTAGAGGATCATCAGTCCAAGCAAGATCAGATGATGATAGCAAAGTAATGGGTAGAGTGGCTCGTTGTGAGGGAGCATATTTTTTCCTACCTCTCCCCAAACTCCTTAGGTTTGTCTCATTTTAACCCACCAAAAGTTGGGGATAAATCTTGATGTTAGGATTCACTATAGTCTCTACCACAGTTTTATCTAGAAACAAGTTATTCTTCAGTAGAAGAAACAAGCAGAGATCTGAAGCCAATACAAAATATAACTCAGACTCACTGAGCTTTAAGTAAAAACCAGTTGCTGCTGAGTCAATTCTGACTCATGGTGACCCCACGTGTGTCAGAGAAGAACTGTGCTCCATAGGATTTTCAATGGCTGATTTTTCAGAAGTGGATGGCCAGACATACCTCCCCTTATAGTCCTTGGTGTAATTTATAGGGTGGGGCCCATAGTCCTCAAGCTATATTTTATTTCCCCATGCCCCCACATGGGTCTCCCTTGGTTGGAGAGAATAGGATTCAGAGGGCACTGAGAACATTTCAAATGTTGCATCTACCTCATGAGAATTCCAGTCTTCTGGTCTTCATGAGGAGCCCTGGTGGCGCCTGCTGGCGCAGTGGATAAGAGCGTGGCTGCTAACCAAAAGGTTGGCAGTTCGAATCTACCAGCTGCTCCTTGGAAACCTGATGGGGTAGTTCTACTCTGTCCTATAGGGTTACTGTGTGGAATTGACTCAACAGCACTGGTTTGGTTTGGTTTTGGTCTTCATGGAGTTGGGTAAAATTGTTAATGCTTTTATATTCAAAGACTGCTTACAAATAGTATAGAGCCCATTATCTGTTCTCAATTAGCGTTAAAATAAAGAGCACTAATATAACCTGAAATGAGTGTTCTAGAGTTTATAATGTAGGCATTTCTTATCGAATTGGTGTTATTTATTTTAACAACAAGGCCACCTTGGAGATCTTATTTTATTATGACTCCACACAGCCTTCTCCTCAGGACATGATGGGACAGGGAAAAGAGATCGCATTTGAATTCCTGCATAGTTACTACAAGGTAGGGGATGATGAGCAAGTGATTTAACCTCAATGAACTTGTTTCCTGTTCTGACAAGGAGGACAGTGGGGAGCTGGTAATAATAACCTTCTGGAGTGGTTGTGAGAATTAAATAGCATTCTGTATGTAATGTTCCTAGGGATATGCTGGCACAGAATAGGGGCTCCCTAAAGGTCAGTCCCCTTCCTTTCCCTGTCTGGTCAGGTTTTCTTTACCGTTTTATGAAATGATCATCATAGAGTTTTCATAATTAAATATGCCGCACTTCAAACCCCTCCACTTGCTCAGTTTGGGTCAGAGTACCATTTTTCTACACGTGTGCACGCATGCACATGTGCACACACACACACTCACAAAAGGAACCAAAAACAAAAACCAAACCCACTGCCATCAAGTCGATTTCAACTCAGCGACGCTACAGGACAGAGTAGAACTACTGCATAGGGTTTCCAAGCTGCAGCAGTGGATTTGAACTGCCAGCCTCCTGGTTAGCAGCCAAATGCTTAAACCACTGCACTACCAGAGCTCCACGAAAGGAACTAGAGTCCCTGAAAGGCCATCTAAAACAGTTTATTTATTTATTTTCCAATTTCCTGGTTGGTCAATGGTATTTGGCCACAATGATCCAGTGGCTAGTCATCAAAACTAAAGAAAGTGGAAAAAAAAAAAAAAAAACCTGAAGAAAGTGAACATTTACGGAAAACATTCTGATATAAAGTTTCCTCCATTCATCTTTAGCCCAGGGCTTCCCGTTCATATTCACCATTTCCTGTTGTATTTTAGTGTTCCTTGTGGTGGACTGAAATAACATAATTGTCCCGGAGCCTGTGACTATGCTTCTACTAAAAGCTTTTAAAGCAGCATGGTGGTGAGGGGGAAATGGGAAGTTTCTGTATTAGAGCAGAAGGTTGTGGCATTTGTTTGGAATGTATGGAGGGAAGTTTGGAATTCTGGGTCTGCGCTGTGAGGAAGAATGTACATGATGTATATGAATGGGGGTAGGGAGGAGGTCCTCGATGCCCCAAGAACCCAAGACACAACATGGCGTCCTCCAATCTATAGGGAATCTTGGGCACTTAAGCTGATACCTCTCAGGAGACACAGCCACTGGAACCCAGAATTTGGCTGATTTGATAACTCGAGAGTCTGTAAACCTCACTAACAACCTGTCAGGGCTTTACATGAGTGCTCTGAGACCTCAGAAACAAAGCAGAGTCACAACAAAGCATTCTGTCTCTGTCCCCTGGTACAGCGTGCGCTTCAGGCTTCTTCATGTTTGTGTTAGCTGCTTATCCTCTTCTGGGCTTTAATACAATCAGGGCTTTATTCTATATGGCATCTCAAACCCTGCCTAAAATAACACCACTACTTCTAAAGTGGATGACTGGTGAAGACAAAAGAGGTTTTCAGTGAGCATTCAGAGTGACATGTAGAAAGCCACAGAGGGCTGTCCCAAACAAGGGGACCAACTGAGAAGGCACTATTCCCAACAAAGACAAAATTGTGTGGACAATTTAATTTGGCCAACCATATCCGAGGAAAGAAGCGAAAGCCAGCAGCAGGTCCACTTGAGGCCAGGATATGAAGAGCTTTGCAAACAAGAAACTGGAACTTGCCCCAGAACCAGCAGAGAGGTTATGGGTACATGATAAACCCCCAAAAAACCAAACCCATTGCCGTCGAGTCAATTCCAACTCATGTAGGATCATTTAATCTCTCCTATAGGAGCTCCTGACCCCAAAGGCATGGAGGCCCTCATGCAATGGGTAGTATAATATACAGATCATGGAGTCTGTGCTGTGAATATCAAATTGGGGGTTCCTAAGAACCACCTGGGAAGCTTATTAAAATGCAGATTTCCAGACCCCACCCAAGAGATTCTAAGTCTGGAGTGGGGCCTGGAATCTGCACTTTTCACAACCTCCTAGGTGATGCTAATGCTGGTCTATAGACTATACTTTGAGAAACACTGTCCTCGTACCAAAAAATACCCAAACCCATTGCTGTCACCACCCATTTCTCTAAACCATAAATTAAAGTTCCAAACCTCCTTTTGTAAGTAGCATTTATAAGTTCTTGCTTTGGAGAAATTTCCTGTTTGTTGAAAAGTTGCTTGAAAGGGAGACTTTTCTATTACAGGGATCTTTTGCCCTAAACCTTCATGGTTATTTTTATTGAGCATCTACCAGATGCTTAAAATTTAGGAGAAGAGCTGAGAGAAACTAAACTAGCTTTTGATAGATTAATTTGATAGCTCTGGGTGTGTGTGTGTGTGTGTGCGCGCGTGTGCGTGCGCGTGTGTGCGCGCGCCCGCGCGCTTTTGTGGTAGCTGCCCATTAGAGAAGTTGGGCTGGAGAAGATGTTGAACTGACAAGTAATGGAAGCCCTGGCATTGAATCTTACTAGGAGTTAATCTTTGGATAGGACAGAAAACCAATTTAGTGACTGTGTACCCCCAAGATAGTATTTAGTTCCATCACTAGGAATGACCCCTAAAAGACATCTAGAAGATGAACATTCATATATAATATGACCCAGCAGTTCCACTCCCAGAACACAACAGAAATGCATACATATATTCACCAAAAAATAAATCCAACAATCTCTACAGCAGCACTGTATGATTCCATTTATATAAAGTTCAAAAACAGGCAAAACGCATCTAGAGTGCTAGAAGTCAGAATAGTGTTACCTTTGGAGGAGGCTTCTGGGGTACTGATAATACTGTTTCTTGATATTCTTTGCAAAATTTAATCAAGCTATACATTTAAGATTTGTGAGTTTTTCTTTACGTTTACTTCAATTTAAAAAGTGTACATAAAAAAGGGCATCCAGTCTGCAACCCTCACTTCCTAAGTGAGGATGCTGAGGCTCAGAAATAACAAGTAACTTGCTTGAGATCAACCACCTAGTACTACTGAGTGTTCCCTTCCACTTGGATGCAGATCAGTGCATGTGTGGGTTTGGGGAATGCTAGCTTAAATAAGGCCAAGAGGCATAGGA